ATTGAAGAATCAACAGAATTGGGATGAATAGAAATAATTGTCATTGATTAAAAAGATAGAACTTACAAAGAATCCCTTAATCTTGAAGAACAAGGCTTGAAAAGCTCTCAAAAATCGAAATAGGGTTTATCTCTCTAAGCTCCCTCAAAAACAGGCAAAACAGGGGCTTATTTATAGAAAAATCCGAAAACGGGCCGAAAATCAGGCCGCGCGGTCGTCCGCACGTAGTGCGGGTCACCGCGCGGTCACGCGCGCGTTTTTCCGTCTTCCGACTTTCGCTCCGCCCGCGCGGTGTGCGGGCGCCGCACTATGCAACCGCGCGGGTACTTCTGGGGGCTATTTCTGGACCGCGCGGTGTGCGGTTTCGGCCGCGCGGTGTGCGGTTTCGACCGCGCGGTGTGCGGTTTCGGCCGCACATAGTGCGGTTCAGACTTCTTGAATTCTTGCTCTCAGAATCACCCGCGGGGCGTGCGGAACCGCACCGCGGGGCGCGCGGATTGCTCTAGAACCGTTTTCTTGCTATTTTCTTCCCCGTTCGCTCCCGGATACTTCTTTAATCAATCCAAAGGCCGTTTCTTCATCAAATCTTCGCCGTGAACCTTCCGGTGGCCTCCAAAACTCTCAAATCTCTCTCGAATGTTCTCCAACTCTTCCCGATTGCTTCTCTAAGCGCCGATGTCGGTCTCTAACTTCTTCAAATCAACTCCAAATGCAATGAAACTCGATCCAACGCCTGCTAAACACACTTGAGCCAAAATTGAGACTTGCAACGCCTTAAAGCCAGGAAAACCATCAAAATCCGACCCGGACACGCATCAAATGCGTGTCTAAATACGGACTTATCAGATACCCAGATTTTGATGAAATTCTAAACTCCATTAAAATCCATATCCAGGATAGCCCTATAGGTTTATGTAGAGCTGTCAAACGGGCCAACCCGACCCAATCCGACCCAACCCGTAATGGGTTATGCTTTATGTGGGTTGGGTCGGGCCAACCCGTTTAATGACGGGCCAGGATTTCTACAACCCTAACCCAACCCACCTAACCCGTGGGTTAAACGGGTAATTGGCCCGCGGGCCAATGTAAAAAAATATAAAACGATTTTTTTAAAAAAAATAATTACCCGGAAGTATATATTTATATTAGCAAGTAGTAACAAAGGAAATATAAGTAATCAAAATACTAAAAATTCAATACTTGTTAAGTTTAATTAAAATATTAAATACTAGTTATACGAGAATTTGAAAACTATAAGAGGCTATGCGACAAAAATACTCATTATATAAAAATAAAGATTTACATAATATAAAATTTTTGATTAATTATTTGCAAATAATAACTACTACGTAGTAATTATTAAATATTGTATCGAACTTCACAAAAAATATATGTTTCAACATTTTATTTGAATATTTATTATAGAAATAAAAGAATAATACTTTTTTAATTGTAATTATAATAATGTTGGTAGCAAAAGAACAATATTTTAGATAATAAAATTCAAAAATATATTTTTGTATCTTGGCCCGCGGGCCAACCCGTAATCCGGTGGGCCAACCCACTTAAATCCGCAACCCATGTGGGTTGACCCACAAAACCCGCGAACTAAATGGGTCAGGAATTCTCAACCCTAACCCACCAATAAATGGGTTTAAACGGGTCAGTCCGCGGGTTTCAGTCCATTTTGACAGCTCTAGGTTTATGTCGTTCGGTCTTTCAGAGCCGAATTGTTGGCCTCTAATAGATTGGCCGTTGGCATCTTGGATTCTTGGACTCATTGCAGATTTGGGGGTTTGACCTTTCCCCTTCCTTTGTGGTCTTCGTTTGCCGACTTCCCGCTGCCCATTGCAAGTAGGGCTGCACATCGGGCGGGTTGGGTCGGGTTCGCTATATTTTCTGGGCCTACCCGATTTGTTCGGGTTGGCTATTAACCAACCCGCGGTACGCAAAATAAGTTGTTAAACCATGCATGAACGGGTCGGGTAGGGTCGGGTATTGGGAAAAAAAATCACTTCGGGTTGCATCTTTCATGTGGGAAATTAATGTAACCAATTTAAAACTCGATTAACTTGTTTCAAAAACAAACAAATACAAGTACTCGTATTTTCTATAAGCAAAAACAGTAAGTAATAGTATTAAAACATCCTTCCTTAAAGGACGTTCATTTAGAAGGAAACGTAAATATATAATAATCACCTAGTCAAAATGACAAATCTTTAATTATAATTCTAATATCATAAAGTCCTAGATAGAGCACATTACTCTTAAATTGAAATTATCCAAGAAAACGTTCTAGCATAATAATAGTAAAATGAACTTCGGTCGGGTCAGGTACTATCGGGTTTAAGATTTTAATTCCGCAACCCTACCCATTAGGTGCGGGTTCAAACATATTTAACCCATGAATATTTTTAAAAATCAAATACCCGATTAAATAGGGTCGGGTAGGGTTGGGTCGGGCGGGTTATGCGGGTTCGGGTTATTCTTGTGCAGCCCTAATTGCAAGTACAAATCCCGCTGCCAATTGCAAGTACAAATAGTATAGTACTACCTTCGTCCCATTTTATGTGTCTTAGTTTGACTTGGCATGATTATTAATGAAGTGGTTGAAAAAGTAAAAGTTGTGGTTGAGGTTTGAGTATAATAAATTGAAATGGTATAAGTCACATATTTCTTTCCAAAAAGGGAAAGTGGACACTTATTTTGGGACAACCCAAAAAGAAATGTAGGACAGGTAAAATAGGACGGGGGAATAACTGCTTAATTTACTAATTAGATTTAGGCCTTGACCTGTAACTCTGTAAGTGGTATTGTGGTAAGTCCGCAAGTGTCATTGTTTTATTGTTACATTTTATTAGATTTTAGGCCTCCTTGTTTTGTTTAAGGTTTAATCAATTAATTATTTACCTGTCTAGCCGTTTTTACTAAATTGAATGTTTGTATTTATTTTCTTAAAAACTAATAGAGATGCTTGGTTTGTATAATTTTGAAGTTATCTAGGTGACTGTTTATATATACTCCGTACATTTTTGACATGGGGTGGTGGGTCTTAATTTAATCCAAATGATATTACCGTTGATCCGAGGTCACGTACACCACCTATCAATGATTTTGACAATTTAGACCAAGTTAGAAGAGAGTGTTTAACTAGAGGTCCTTGTAGACCGGTACACCTTGGCGATATATGCAAGAAGGGGATTTTTGCAAACATTGAGAATGAAGCAATTTTGCAGCGCTTTCAACACATGCAGAACACAGAACACAATTGTTTCAGCTCGTTTCTTCGTTTAACAATGAATAGTTCCTTGATGTACACGATTTGACATATTATGTACGAAGTATTTTTATACTCTTATTAAAATTTCAGTGTCTTGAGTTTAGACATTCTTTCTAGCCACCCCTTAGATTCTGTTCTGGTTCCGTCACTAGGTATATCAAGTAATCCCTATAAATAATATCAACTTTTAACTTTTACGCTTAATTTTTATTTAAGTTGGAGGTAATATCTAGTCATGGACCATCATTGGCGGACGGTCCATATAGTTGGGATTATACAAAAAAAATATCAATAGTTGGGATTATTATTTTCAATTTTATAATAATATTATAAGTATGTTGTATACGCAGTAATTAAAATTGAAATTATAATTATAGAAATAAATATATAAATATAATAATTATAATTATAGAAATATTCAAATCAGATCAGATCAGATCAGAGAGATTCAAATTAGATCAGAAGGATTCAGATCAGATCGAGATATTCAGATCAGGTCAGAACAGATCATAAACATTCATATCAGATAAAAAAGATTGAGATCAGATCAGAAAGATTTAGATCAGATCAAATCAGAAAAACTAAGATCTGATCTGATAAGAACTTAAAAAATTCAGATCAGAAACATTCAGGGTGAAGAGAACGGTTTGTTATGGCTAATAGCCGCTAAAATTAATGTTACAAGTTTCTATCTATCGTCACTAGGTGTATGAAGAATGTGCTTGTAGCACGTCTAGCTAGAGTTCGAGGATGGTACGAAGATGGTGGTGTAAAATGATTAAAATAAAGTTCATTTACAAAAATGTAACTAAATGTAGTGAATATATATAGTACTGTAGTAACTTTAGTTAGAGGCCATCAGAGAGGCCCTTCCCGATGGAATTTTTTGATGAAATTGTTTGAGCATGTTCCTCATCAAGTCCAGTTTATCCATAACAAATTTCAGCTAAAAATTCAATCGGGAAGATAGTCAAAAAAATTCCCTACTAAAACTGCGCAGTTTATATATAAATAATGCACAGTTTTAGTAAGGAATTTTTTTAACTTCCTTCCCGATTGAAGTTTTAGCTGAAATTTGGTATGGATAAACTAGACTTGATGAGGAACATGCTAAAAAAAATCATCAAAAAATTCCACCGAGAAGGTCCTCAAATGGCCTCGGCCTGACAGCGGTTCCTGCGCCGTCTCGCCGGCCTGATACGATCGTCTGTCCTCACTTTAGTTATAGTAACTTATATTCAATTTTTGTGCTCAAAAAACCGTATAAGGCATTATACTCATAGTAATTTAACACTACTTTTATAAATAAATTTTATTTTAGTAATAATTTTGAGAGAGAAAATCTGATAAAGGAAATAACGTTTTTTTATCTAAATAAACCCTCTTTTAATATATTAGTTTTATTACAAGTCGCAAATGAATCGCAACTATATTTAACTAAGGATGTTTTCTTTTGGACCGTTTTCAGTCCCAGACCAGACTTCCGTAGTTATAAAATACATAGAGACCAGACGTTTACCAGATCAGACCAGACCAGATCAGACTAGACCAGCCAATTTGTGTCCAACTTATATTAATAAATTCTAGAAGGACAACGATATATGGTTACGTAAGTGACTAAGTGCACATACACATGTCCTAATCATTAACTCATTAGGACTAGGACTAGGATACTTGCTTAATTAAATCAGTTTTCTCTCTATAAATACAATTAGATGCTCTACGTTGTACGCATAATCGTTTCTTCAGCTCAAGCAAAACCCATATCATATCCCAATCTTTCTTTAATTAGTTTTATCCATGGCACTAAACGCTTTCTTTTCTTTATCATCCCTTTTCTTTATTTTTATTATCCTATTCACCGTCGGGCTGTCTTTCCCGGTTCCGGCGGATCATTATTTTCAAATAAATTTACCAAACGGAGTCGTTGGCCCGGAGAGTATTGCTTTTGATTGTACCGGAAGAGGACCATATGTCGGTGTTTCCGATGGGAGAATTTTAAGATGGGAAGAACATGCCCGAGACTGGACTGAATTTGCTGTCATGACACATAATAGGTATGCACATTCAAATATTTATTTATTTATTTATTTATTTATTTATTTTCAACATGCATATATATGTACCATACTGGCTTGGCCGATAACGTTTATTATGTTTCCAATCCATTATACGATCGTGTATATGGTTTTGGGATTTTTGTTTTCACAACTTTAAAAAAATGTGCATGGTATATTGGTATAGTAGGAAGTTTTTCTTCAAATTATTTCGTATTTAAATAAAAATATGTGATGATGAAATAATGTGACCAGGCCAAGGCGATTATAAGTATATTTTCATACTTGATAAAAGGTTATAAAGTCTCTATCCGGAATTATAATTAGAAAAGGCTACAAATTAAAGTCTCTAATTTGTATTGAGCAGTTTAATTTTATATTGTATTGGCTATTAAAATCAGGGGAATGGACGAAATGATTTGGATAAGCTAATTTACCCTTCTTCAAAAAGATTCATCTGTTGCTTAGGAAAAAACGAATTGAATCGATATCAAATTTGTAGACTATAATCATGTACACGCTATTTGAACACGATATGACCATATGATGTATAATTATATTTATTTTGATGTATTATATTTGTTATTAAAAGAATGTGTGTGCTATTTGGTTATTAGGAATAGACAATTGTGTGATGGTATAACCGACACCCGAAGGGAGCCGCTTTGTGGTAGACCGCTCGGATTAAAGTTTCATCCAAAGACTTGTGAACTATATATAACGGATGCTTATTTCGGGTTGATGAAAGTGGGACCGAATGGCGGGATTGCTACCGAACTTGCAAATTCAGCTCAAGGGCATCCCTTCATGTTCCTTAATGATCTAGACATCAATCCTATGAATGGAGTTGTCTATTTTACCGATAGTAGCATTCGCTATCAACGAAGGTAAAATATTGTTCAATACACGTACAACTGATTATGTTTAACAATTAATCACAACATTTTCTAATAAAGTATCATACCTATGTAGGGATTACTCAGAGATCATTTCCAGTGGAGATAGTACTGGAAGGCTGTTAAGATTTGACCCAAATACCAAGCAAGTGAGCGTGTTACATGATGGCTTGGCATTTCCAAACGGGATTGTTTTGTCTAGAGACAATTCATATCTTCTTGTAGTTGAATCACAGAAAAATCAAATCTTAAAATTTCCGCTTTCGAATAACAGAACAAGAACTCCAAGTGTCTTTGCAAGGGTTGATAGGTTTGCTGATAACATCAGAAGGAACGATCAAGGAGATTATTGGGTTGCACTAAATACAGCAAGAGAAGGATACACTGAACCGGTTGGTTTGAAGTTTGACGAAAATGGTAGATTGATTCAAGCAGTGAATGGTAACATTGGAAATACTTTAGAGTTTGTCAGCCATGTCGAAGAACATAATGGAAGAATGTGGTTTGGATCTCCAAGACAACCATATGTTGGAACTACTATTAGAGTTTAGATTTTATTAATTAATTAGATAGGTATTCGTTTTAATTAATATAAGCATATGATTTCTTCTTAATTGATGACAAATATGCTGTGTGGAACTTCTAGTTGGTTTATTTATACATTAATGTTTTAGGGGTAACAAGTTAACTAAACACTTTCAGCATATTGTGAATGCGATATTTAATAAAGTTCACATATTTTATCCAAATCAAACCTTTCTTCTTCACTAACGTTATTACATCAAGGCATCCAATTCCAAGGCACAACTTTGAAGTCATATATACTCAACAAGGGAATAATAATACAATAATTATTGGTCACATTTGAGTTTGTGCGTTTTATCCAGTTTGGAGTGTAGAGAATAATCTTATTCACTTTGTCGAGTTGGGAATAGGGACACCTGGGGAGAGGGTGATTTCACCTTTTTGAGTTGAGAATAATCTCATTCAGACTGTTTTAAGGCTTCAATAAAAACATCCTTTAGCAGAGAATTCGACGCAGCTACTCGTTGAGATGTGATATCAAAATCTTTTCCTGATCTGATTTAAGAAAAGAAAAAAGGAACGGTTTAGTACAATTATCATAAGTGTAGACTAAATTATCAGTTAAGACAGACTCATTACATACTCACATCATTCAGCATGCCATATATTTAAATGCAGGTTTAGAAACAGTAAACAGAAACCTACCGAAACCAAACTGATCAAAGTTAATTAAATCCTATGCAGTTTCAGTTTTTCTCAAGGTTGTAATGGGCTTTGAAAACCAGATAACATTGACAAAAACCACCCAGAATCGCCCGAACCCGAACCGAACAAAGCCAAACCTCACCATATATGCAGTTTTGTTTTTTGTTCAAGTCTTTAAGTTTCAAAAAGTGACCTAACTAATCAAAACCTGAGAGAATTGGAGATGATTTAAGTTATTAAGTTTGACTTTTTCAAAAACTCCAAGGACCGGCTCCCTTTGACACATTTCAGTCTCATGCATAAACAGATTAGAACAAAACCGCACTATTCACTTAGACTTAAGACCAGAATCAAACAGGCCAAAACAAACTTACACTAAACAGTACTCCGTATAAATACGCATAATATCAAACTAGACTTAGGGGTCGTTTGTTTTATGGCGGATCGACATCCACTCGCCGCAAAAAGCAGCGGTTCTATGTGTAAAAGCAATAGCGGTTTGGGGAAACCGCTTATTTCCCAACGACCCCTTAATTAAACCAAATTAAACATGTCCAGGCTAGAATATATTACAGTCAAAATAAACATATCCTAAGTAGAAACAAGAACAGAGCAGACAAAAACTAAACAGACGAGAATACGAGATCATACCATTATTACCAATAATTTCATTCTGAGTCCTAAAGTAGCAAATATAAGCTGATATGTGGTTACTCAAAGGGTTGAGATTGAGGAATGAAGTATTTGGTATACTTACGGATCAAACAGAACGCCACCGGCTTCTTCAACAATAACAGCACCAGCCGCCACATCCCATGGGCCACCAAATCCAGCCTCATAGCAAAGGTCAATCCTCCCACAGGCAATGCTGCATAGATTCAGTGCAAGAGAACCTGTCATTCGCAGGGACCTCACCTGATCACAAGAGCCAGGGAGACTAAAACATCACTAACCAACCGTGTCTATGCACTGACAGAGCAACAACATCCAAGCCTTAATCCCAAAAGACTTTGGGGTCGGCTAACATGAAGTATGCCAAAAGTATGCACTGATGCAAAATTGAATTAATTAATACCTTGAAAAGTAAGTTGTTGATTCTGCTAGTACAAGCATCCACATTTAACTTGTCACGCTTTGTTCCAGCCTCTGTCACAAGGAGCGCCTTCACAAGTTCATCCTGAGAAGATACTGCATGGATATATTTAAATTAAACGCCAAAGAATCTTGTTAACAAATGCCAGTTTGAGCATGTTTCTTTGGCTTATCACCATTTCTTTTACCATTTATCTAACACTAACCTCAAAGGCTTGGATGTTGTTGGATGTTGTTTTTGTTGTTGTTACCTAACACTATCTTGTTTAATTCCCGCACTAAATTGGCTAATCAAGAAAAACAACAGGAGTTTATTTTTTTTCTGAACTTGACAAATTTAGTTACTTTCCATATAATAGTAATAAAATCTACGGAATATACAATTTCACAATTCAAGGCATTCATCCAATTCACTTCAATTTAGAAACTTCAACCTATGAAGCAAGCAAACTCTCGGGAAAGAGTACGTTTCATTTTCCAAAACTCTACAGAAACTTTATAGAAATCCTCCAAAAAATCCACCAAACAATAATTTATCTATTACAAGATGATGACGTTTCTCGTTTCACATTTCCCCACGTTTCCGTGCAACATAGATTTCAACACATTTGGCCAATATTGGTCTTCAAGAACGGCACTATATTAGTGTAAAATATGTTTATTGTAGGCATTAAACGAACAATATGTATTTTCCTTTATAAATGTAAAATATGTTTATTATAGTCAGTTAGCCCATATTAGTGTTTATTATAGGCACTAAAAGAACAATATATAGAGATGTAAATTCACCTTTGATAGGGCTACCATTCAGAAAAGCACCTTTCCCATGGATGCCAGTGAAAAGCTACAAACAATGTTCAAAGCAAATAGAAATATTTAGATTAGTTCAGTTTAAACTATAGCATGTTTAAACTCTTGAATGTAAATTTGAAATGAATTCAGTTTGACTGGTGGCAGGATGGGCCTATTATAGAACTTAGGTAGGATTTGGCGGAAGCGGAGCTTTAAGCCTAAGAGTATGTTTGGATGGTGGGAGGATATGCAAGGCTCAGTTTATAATTGATGTGTATTTGAGAATTAATAAAAAGTCAAAGATTTGCATATAATATACGTAGTATAATATATAATCACATGACATTCCAATCACATATTCTTCATTTTTTAGAAGCAATAAATACAAACAGACCCTAAGAGAGAACTAGATCGTGCGGAACCTCAGAAGTCTCACCTCGTTCATGATTGGGTTGTAGACAACGCCAACAGTTGGTTTTTTCCCAATTGTGAGACCAATTGAGACACACACAAAAGGAAACCTACAAGTTAAACCACAGTTTTTTATATATCAAATTACAAGGTAAGTATTTAAGTTCTCCAACGAGCACTTGTTACAATATTAACTTGGAGAATATTAATGGGGTTAAATTACCCATGGACAAAGTTAGTGGTTCCATCAACAGGATCAACTATCCATGTAGGTTCATCTGTCAGCTCAGAAGCTCCATAAGCTGCCGTTGTTTCTTCTCCAATGAACTAAAGGGAGGAGATTAAATACATAAACCAATAACTAGAGGGGAACTTTTCAAAATAGCATACTTCGGTATTAATTAGTACCTGAGAATGAACTATTATGTAACTCTAATGATAATGTAAAGGGAATATTAAAGAAAAAGGAAAATGAACCTTATGGGTTGGGAAGTGATGCTTAAGATGATTGAATATGAGGGTTTCACATGCCTTGTCGGTCTCCGTGACCAAATCCACCTATAAACAATTAAAACATAAAGCAAATGACGAACTAAATTACAACATTTAGACTCTCAAGACTAAGGATGTTTTTACTTGAACAGTAATTCGTCCCAGACCAGACCAGTTCAGACCAGACTTGGATAGTTATAAGGATGTTTTTACTTGGACTGTAATTTGATGGTCTGGTCTGGTCTGATCTGGTCTGGTCTGATCTGAACTGGTCTGGTCGGGTAAGGTCTGGTTTCTTTGTATTTTTATAACTATCCAAGTCTGGTCTGGTCTGCACTGGTCTGGTCTGGACTGGTCTGGGACAAATTACAGTCCAAGTAAAAACATCCTAAAAATACAAAAGAACTAGACCAGGCCAGACCAAACCAGACCATGTCAGACCAGACCAGACCAGACCAGCAAGTTACAGCCCAAGTAATAACATCCTAAAAGGTGAAAAACATATCATAGATATGACTCTTTCGGAGAAGATGGAGTAACATTTGAGGCTTAAACCTCATTATCTACACAATGCACATCTTAAATTTCAAATGAAAAAATACTCCCTCCGTCCCAGAAAATTCTTCCAACTTTTCTTTTTGGGACGTCCCAGAAAATTCTTCCAACTTCACCTTTTTGATTATTTGTGTGGCTCACATTCATTTCACCTTTTTCTTACACAACTACAACTACACATTTCCACTTTATTCCCACTTTCTTAAACTCCGATCCAAGTCAAACTTGGAAGAATTTTCTGGGACGGAGGGAGTAATATACAAGGCCATGTTCTGCACAAATTAGTATTATTACACGGCTTATTTTCAATTTTTAATTAAAAGTAATTACCGAGCCTTTGTGTTCGATATGCTTTTTCTGGTGGAAACCATTTCGTATAATCTGTAAATCCAATAAACCAACACAGTCAACAAGTAGAGCTAGAAACCAGTGAAAAATGTAAAGCAAGGTTGATCGAGAAAGTGGAAACCAAACCAGGGGAGAGGAGTGTTGATTTTTATTTTTCCAATTTATCCCTATCTTCTAGTTTTAGACTAAAAGTAACTACATTAGTTAGATCATGTAGTTTTATATAGGGAGCAGTTTTATCTGCACTTTATTTTGTAATAAATGTAGAAAACTGTAAATGATTTCTAAAAAACATCACCCATCCCCTGCCCTCC